TTCTGAAGGTTGAAGCAGAAAACTTTCTGAAGACTCAGTCAGTCCAAACAGGGATAGTGCTGGTTAGTACATCTGTGGTCAATGAGGAAGTGGCGGCCATGCTTGAGTCCAACAGACATGATTAAAACTAAAGTTAAAGGTTATGAATATGCCTTTTTCATTTCTGTCTATCAATCCAGTTGCTTATCAATTCCTGAGTAGTTCAATAGGTGGCAAAAAATGAATTGCACACACCCTCCTGCATTACAACTGTTTATTGATGAGAAATAATCAATTGTACCTGGTATTGATTGTAAAGATCTTTCCGAATGTTCTCCTTGTGAAGGCAGAGTTATCTTCTTGTTCAGTGTAGTGTCGCTGTAGCTTTTGCAAAATGGGAAACATTTCTTTTATTTATGTTTTTTAATTTTTATTTTTTTTAATATATTTTTCTTATTTTATTTATTTATTTATTTTTAACCGTGTCCTGTCTGGCTGTGAAGCAAACAGAATTGATGTCTGAATGCTGGTGACAAGCCTTACAGATTTACTCTCAGGTGGAGCATCAAAGCGTCTGCTTTTAATGTCACGCCTGCTACTTAAAACTTTATTGTTATTGTTTTTGAATGCTTTGTAATTCCGACCAGACACGGAGACAGAGGTGAAAGAGAAAGGAAAAGACAAGAGGTGGGGAGAGATGGGGGAAGGGGGTGGGGTGTGGGGGGGGGTGGGTCCCCACAAAAATAAACAATAATGAACAAGAGTCTGCTTCTAGACCTGCAGAAAGAGAAAGAACAGAAAAAAATGGGACACACAACAATACATCAGGAGCAAGCTATCACTGCATCAACCTGATGATGAAATACTGTATAAAATCAACATTGTTTAACTGAACAATCACACGATAATAAATCATAGTGCATTTAGTGGCAACGACAGCCTTAAGACATGTGTTGAATGTGCCCAAGCCCATACTTTTGAGAGCACCTTGTGAGCACCTGTGTGTGTACACGCGCTTGTTTATGTAAGGTTTCTCTATAGGAGCGTCCAATAGAGTGTGAGGGACCACATATCTGACCCCCAAAGATGTGTAGAAGACGGAGGGAGCTCCAAGTCCCAGAGATCCAGGCGCTGCCCCAGAACACAGGAACCCCAAGGAGACTGCAACCAGAAAGACCCCCGCCCCCCTCGAGAGGCACAGAGGATCGCCCCGGGGGGCCACAACCAGCAGCCGGCAGAGTCCCGGGAGATATCAGCGGCAAGCCCACAGGCCCACCGCAGTCTCCCACCCCCTAGCCGGCCAAGCCCGGGACCCAGCAGAGCCCAGGGACCCAGACCCCACCAGGCAGCCACCGGGACTGAACAGGCAGATGCCAAAAATCTTAAACCCCCTGACCCGGGAGCCACGAACACTCAGGCAGACCAAGGCACCACACCCCACACCAGGTGTGGCAGGGGGAGGGAAGACGAAGAGAAAATGGGAAACATTTCACCACAGGTCAGACTTTAGTTGTTGGACTCTGCTAGTGTGGAGGTGTGTATGTAAGGAAAATTACGCTAACATGATAGGCAGTGTTAGCTGATTACTTGCAGTATTAACATGTAAACATTACCACTGCTGCTGCGTTGATATTCACTAGAGTTTCTAGCCTAGTGAACCAAATTCTTGCTTTGCAAGTTTGGTCTAGGAACGCTCCGTTGGAGCCTCTGCAGCCCCTTGCAGCATTTTGGCTGGCCAATCACAGCTCTCTAGAGGGGTTTCAAACACATAGAGAGCTGTGATTGGTCCATAATGGTGGGCCAAACCATACCACTATCTGCTTTGTGAACCAATCACAGTGCTTTATCCGCTTTGTGGGCCAATAATCATGGCCCTCTATTCGTCTGGTGGGCGGGATGATGCAACAGAAAGTTATTTTTTTAGAAAAAAGGATGTATTTTCACCTTCTTCAACAGCAGACCGCCTCGTTTACCGACATCCATTGCGGTGAGCAGGGGCGGATTTAGGACTGAAGAAGATCCGGGGCTTAACACACGTGCGCACGCACACACACACACACGTGGCACACACTAGTCAACATCATATATGTCTTGTACCACATAATTTTTAATCTGAAGCTACATATTAAGCATATTCAGGGCAGAGTATTGTTCCTGTTAGTGTTTAGTGTGAGGTGATAGTAAATATTCCCTTTCTTTCTCCAACAACTTTACCTGATAGTAAGCTAACTTTAGGCAAACCAGCAGCACAACAAATATTTTCAAATAAGACTCACAAACCTGAGTCAACACCAGTCTCATCAAAGCTGGGGTTCTGTCGTTGTACTTTTTGTCTAAAAAACATCCTTATGTCCATCTTCACTCATGCGTTACAGGCAGAGAGTGTAGAAGAAGCCGGCTGCTGAAGGGCTTCTTCTTCAGTGGTGGAGGCTCAGGCAGGCTGTATACAAACTGCTGCCAGCTGCTCCCTCTCTGTTGGACTTTGGTACTGCATGTTACTTCCGCGATTTAGATCCGGGGCTTTTCATGAAACATCCGGGGCTTCAGCCCAAGTAGCCGGGCCTAACGCCGCCCCTGGCGGTGAGTACGTCACGTTGTTCATTGTCCAGTAGCATCAGGAGATTGTTTGAAAGACAACGGTAGAGCCCACCCCACGACCGAGAGCCGTCAATGGAGCGTTGCCAGACTAAATAATATATTTGTTTAGTCAGGCTTGCCAGGCTGTAGTGTTTCCCCTGTTTAAGGAAATATCTACATTGCAAGTATTACAAGTTGCCCTATTGTCATCCTTTCTCACAAAGTAAAACCAAACTTTCAAGCATCCGTGCCACTTAGGAGCCATGTTTCCTGCTGAGTAAATGCGGAAACTATGCAACATGCATGGTGACGTAATTCGTGCAGACTGGAATTGATAAAGGAATTGTTTGCAGAAATGGCAAATGATTTCTAGGAGTTGAAGCAGTGGGAACCAGTTTTCAATAAGTAACAGTTTTCAATTCCCATCCCTACTTATGCAGGTAATGATTGTTTGATTAGAAAATATAAAACTTGAACAAGGCTTACATGTTAGTTTTCAGAGGCTTTGGGACTTTAAACTAATTCTAAACTTCTTCAGTTTAATCATTCAAACACTCTCACTGGCTTTTCAGAGAAGGAAACACAGATGTTTGCTCCTGATCTGAGTCAGTCCTTAGATTATGACCGATGCCACGGCCTGTCGTAAACTTTGTGATGTTAAGGTGTTTTCATCCAAAAAACAAAGAATATTGATGTAGAGGGACTTTCTGAAAGTAAAATCTCTATGTCACAATGAATTTAGAAAGTTTGTTAAGGTTAAAGCAGATCTTTTCCAGCCGATTCCAATCCTTTGAAAATCACGATTGGGCCCGATTTACGATCATGGATTGGAGCATCCCTAGGAAAACTGTTTCTGTTGTCTTTGTGCTAAGAAGGCTTCTCCTGATTGCTTCACCTTTCTGTAAACAGAATCGCTCAGAGACATGTCTTGCTGATGTCTCAGCCCTCCCATCTAACCTGCCCCAACATGACTTGGTGGACGTTTAATTACTTTTCAGAAAAAGTGATTGAGTCTAATGAAAACACCAAACTCACTATTTTCCCCTAATCATCGCCCACTTTTACGCCGTCGCCATCTTTGTAGCAACATAATAACCTCCCACTGTTTTCATCATGATGAAAAGACTCTGTGTTTGAGGCTAATCATTTTTATGTGTTGAGCTACACAAAATGGGCATCATTTTATTTACCTCATTTTCAAAACACTCCTTATTTCTGTGTATTTAGATGTCAAAATGTTCAGATTTACACGTTTATAAAATGTTGTAAATATGTACTTTTAAAATAAGTTTCTTTTTGTTTGATTTAAAGGGATACTATGCAACTTTTTCATATTTTAAAATAATTTTCTTGAGCCAGTATGTGCTAAAATGACCCTTTACAGGATTAATGAGAAGTCAGTCAAACCTCCACCATCCCCTCTGGCTAGAATATGCACTTGCAACTTCAGAGTGGTGGGCCGCTACCTGTGCACTTTGAAAAAACTGAGCTTACATGCCTAGCGCTGCAGTCTAGTTCCAGCACATTTCCTGCATGTTTTATATCATGAACACAGCTGAATTAATTTAGTGATGAATCACTCCTGTAGACACTAATGAAGGCTGAGGAGACATTTCAGCTGTTAGATTAAGGTGTATAAAGACAAATGTGCAGCAAGGAGGTAGGTTCCACTTTTGGTTCTATTAGACGGACACTAGTGGGTGCTAAAGGCAAGCCCAATCGGCCAAGTGTGCCTTTAATAACTGACCACCAATACATCCCAAGAAAATTTGATAATTAAATGTTCTTATCAATTGTCTTCATGTTTTAGTCATTTTTACAGTTTCCCACATACTACAGTTATTACATACTCCTAAAACCTGTTCAGATGACATCTTCCCTTTTCCTGTTAGTTGGATTATGTTCTCATGATCTACTGTAGAAGTTAGGCTTTTTAGTCAAAAATATCTTTTCATTGGAAATGTTGCTTTTTCATGTGATCAATTCTGTTTCGTTGCTACTTTTTGGAGGTAATATAGTTAAGTCAAAGTATTTTTTATGTACTCTACTACATAAAGAAAGTAATAACTAAGTTTCTTAGATGCACTGTAATCCAAAATAATTTACTAGTGTGTTACTTTATTAATCTACTTTAAATTGTACAATCCTAAACAGATAAATTAATATTTCTATATTCTTCAGTTGAAACTGACTTTCTACTGTGCATGTATATAAAAAGGAAAATGTTCTGTATGATTATTAGTTTTGTTAAAAACACATTAATCTCCTTTGTCTCTTTATTTCTGTTTATGGTTTTAAAGTGTTAAACATGCTGAAATGACAAAAAAGAAAGCAGTATGTTTTATGACCATTACTGATGCTTTATTGATGGAGATTTCCCACATGTCTGTATAAAGGTATGTTATTTTTTTATTTACTGACATGTGTTCTTTGTTTTGTGACAGACGCCATGCTGCTGGTTGCAGACAGACTGGTGGGCCCTTTCAACATTGAAGCAGTTATAGAGCCAATCGACATCAAGATCTCTGAGGCCATCATGACCATGCAGGACAACAGCATGCACGTGTCAGCAAAGGTACTGAGCCCTGAAACATCTCTGCGGTTAATTCAAATTGTCAGCTAGCCCCAGGGCTGCTGTGGCCCCATTGTGGCTTATCACTGCCAACTTGTGAATGTGAGCGTGGGTGGGTGGACAACTGCAGTTGTAAAGGTCCTTTGGTGGTTCTAGGACTGAAGAAGGTGTTCTATTAATACAGGTCATACACCATTTTCCCTTTTATTTATTTATTGTTTTAAGTTTGAGTAAAATCACAAAATGACAGAAGCATTTATTGTAATATGTCATGTCTGGATAACGGAATAAGAAGAAAAACTGAGTTGAACTCATTGTTTGTCAGAAACCTTTATATTTGGGTAAACACCATGATGATTAAATGACTAATGACTTCTGATAATTACATGTTTAGAAATGAGTTTTAAGCATCATAGTCAAAAATATGAAATTATTGTTATGCATCATTCCACACAATACCACAAGACCACCAGCATGTGGTGTAAATGACTCGCACAGTTTTGTGGGTCTACAGTAAATATGTTTTGGGGAGTTTTATTGAAATGGGAGATATTTTGCTAACACTACTGATGCACTCCCATGGGCAAAAACATTATCACACACATTTTGTCTTCCATTAGAAACAAACAATTAGTTTCAATATCAGAAAGGCAAGTTAGATAATGTATTGCAACAAAAACACCCACCCTGAAATCGTTGTGTTTTCTATTAACTTTCAGTTGTTTCTCTCAATTATTCAACCCATTATTAATTCTAATTATGGTCTTTAGGAGGAGTGCACACTGTTAGTGCAAGAGTGTTTACCTGTTAGAAAAAACAATTAAGCTATTTCTTATTTTCCTTTTTAGAGTTCATGGTGTTAATCGTTGGAACATTTTAAATGGCTATCAGCAGAATCACCTCATTTTCACACAGCGTGTCGTTTTCTACCCTGAGTTTCCACTTCAGGCTTCTACTCTGATCATTTCTCTTTTATTCTGGTTTATCTTCAGGCAGGTGTTACACAGGTCAGAGTGAATTAGATATCCCATCCTTTCTCACATCTGGAGGGCTTCAGTGTGCAACTTAACCCATTGTCTGCCCCCTTCATGCCTCAGTCCTCTGATCTTTTGCTTGGCTGACAGATGGGTCTGAGATTACAATTTTCCTCACATTCACAACATAATCGTGCACAGACCTTCCCAAGTTTTCTGAAACGTATCAGATATTGTATTGTACATTCTTCACCGCTGCTTTGACCAGTAAAGAATCTCTTGCTTGTGGAAACTGGAGATGTAACTGGTGAGGAATCAATAAGTATTAGCGAAAGAAAGCTTTTTGTCATGACAGGCATGACGTTTCTAAGTGTGCTACACCACATAGTGAGCCACGGGCTAGGAGGCAGATCAGAGAGGAGTCCTAATGACCTGCGCTCTTCGGGTTTGTGTTGTTTTGGCACTAAAAGCCTGTAGAGACCAAGCCATCTGAAAACAATCCGTTATAATAACAACCCTTGTATGACCTACAGATGCCTGATGTAAAAGTAATAAAGGTAATAATACATTTCAACCACTCATGCTATAGAAAGAAAGCTCAGTAACACTTTACAAAAAGGGTCCCTTTATTAACAATACTTAGTACATTATTAAGTGTTAATAAACTATTAATCAAAATATTGACAACTGCTTAACCATGTACTGCATTACCAAGCAGACACCCCATGGGCCCTTTGTCCTAACCTTGAGTACATTTACTAATTAACAATAATGATAATATTAATAAAGGGCCCCTTTGTTTATTAATGCTTAATAATGCACTAAGTAACATTAATAAAGGGACCCTTATTGTAAAGTGTTCCCGAAAGGTCCGTATTGTATTTTATGTACATTTGAACACTATTTATTTAGTCAGAAAGGTTATTTGTAGGGATGTCTGATGGTATCGGTCTACCAATATTAACGGCCAATATTGGCCTTAAAATGTAATATTGGAAAATATCGGTATTGGTTATTTCTCCTTAACGACCCACATTTTACATCCCATGCACATATTATACATCAAACTCTTCGACTTGATCTCATCTCTCTCAAAATTTGACAGCTCTGATGTTTAATTTTTGAGATGTTTTTGTTTTATTTGGCACAAATTGTGAGTAATTAGAAATTAGCTCTGTATAGAGGATCTGTTGTCCAAACAGCGCATAGCTATGTGTAGCTAGCCAGCTTGTAAATGTTAGCTTTTCGTAAATGAAGAGCTGTATAAATGTTTTATCACTGTAACTACAATATACAGAAAAAGAAAAAACACATTGCTCACTAACACACACACACACAAACACACACACACACACACACACACACACCTTAGCGTTGCGCTGAGCAATTAACCTTGCTTAGCATGTGTATGCTCACATTGCTTACGTTTTATCAAGTAACTTTAACACACCCCCAAACATTCTCTAAACAAATCGATACTCACAAAGACAAATGTTCTAGAAATCATTCCAGTATAAAGCAAAATCAGTACGTTCGTGATCCATTTATTCTCTTGTTTCTGCCTAAATGTAAGCCGTAAACACACCAGGAGCGGAGGAAACAATACCTCAATGATAGATCTGAGGTGTGAGAGGTCATTCTGTCGCATTTCGCACAGACATATTATAACAAAGATGGCTTGTTACAGCGTTTTCAAAACCTAAAATGTTTTAACCTTTTTATCATTAATTCACTTGTACTTTTTATTAAGTTGTTAATCAAACTTTCCCATTGTGAACTTAATAATCATCTGAGGCCTAAAGGCGTCACAGAGCATTAGTCAGAATTATCTTAAGGAGGATGTCATTCAGCTGCTAATGGTGAATTTCTTTTTCTATTACTAACTTAAACTGTAGTTGCAAATGTGCATGGATGTTTAACGCTTAAACATTCATGATAGGAGATATGTTATGTTAGCTACTTAAATGATTTCTTTTTCAAATTTTTTTTGTTTGTTTTTTGGGAGGGCAAATACGGCCTTGTGATTTTATCTTGAGAGGCGCTATATAAAAGGTTGTTTTATTTCTTTCTTTCTTTCTTTGTGTGTGTGTGTGATTAATTAATTTGAAAATTAAGGTTTTTGATTTAAAAAATATATATCACACAACAAAGAAAAGTTACAGAAATATTTAGATTTATTCTTTTTATTGCTCATGAAACAAAATTAGCATGAACTTGACTTTACCCTGAATGAAAGCTGTGCCACAGCTGTGGTTATTTTTGTTTTCTTCACCCAAAATGACACTTGTCCCTGTGAAAAGAGATTTTGAGCTCTGATAGACACCATTAGTTCCAGGCTCTGTGCTTTTTCTGTCTCAATCACAGGCCACAAATTGAGTTAGGGGGGCAAATTGTCAGAGGCTTTCTCAAGAAAACACTGGAGTGTAGACACACTACCATATATCTGAACATGTTTGTCTTACAAAGAAACAGTCTTGACTCTGTGCAGTTCAAGCAGATTTCCAACATGTGCATACTCAGAGGTTAGTGAGAAATGCTTTTCTGATAATGATGATGTCGAGATGTTCTGTTCATTTGCAAAATAACAAAAGCTCCATTCTCTACGGTAACTGCAGCTCTTCATGTCTCAGGTTTTTCAAGGATGCGGACAGCCGAAGCCATCGGGAATAGGCAGGTCTGCACGAGGCGTCTCAGATGTGTTTAGTTCTCGCTTCAAGCCTTACACACCTGAACAGAGACCTACCACAGCAAGTGGGACAAGCCTGGACAGACTGGTACGTACAAAAACAAGAGTGATGCAACATCTGCCATAACAGTGGTGGTAAAAAAAGAACAATTGTGTCTAATTAACCGTATGCAAGATTTTTGAGTGTGCAAGATTGTTTCATCACAATATACCACACACACACACACACACACACACACACACACACTTTCTTGTATATTTTGACAACTCCACTGATTTTCAGAGCTACACAAAAGAGAGTTTTTGATATAATCCTGGCAGACAGACTTTGGTGAAGGCATGCTGTGTTTAAGGTCGACTTACCGGGGTGCAGGTCCAAAAGGCCAGAAAAAACAGAGGCATGTTCCTGTAGCTTCCCTGGTGATGTGGGACTTCCAGCTATGCTGCACTCTAAAGTTCAAATCTTACTTTTTTTGTCTTTATGTTACGATCGGTGCCAGCATTTCAAGGAAACTCACAAAACTACACAGATCAATCGATAAATGGCTGATATGCTGTGTACAATGTATTATGAACTGAATTTATATCTGTAGGTATCCATCTTCAAATTTAGATATTTTGCAAAAGAAGATTACAGCTTGTTATGTTTTTCATATCAAGCTAGTTTACAATCAAAGCTTTGGACTTTAAAAGTATGGTAATGAAACCAAACTTCTTATAATGAAGCATCCAACAACACACACAAACACGATATTGGATGTTCTGTTGATAGTTTTTCTAAATCCTAAACTCTACTAGAAACATTACATTTGAGAATGAATGATCGTGTAAGGACGTGGACAGAGATGTTGTCTCTGATCTATGCAGAGGATTTCATGAAATCCTCTATCTGCATCTAGTAAATCCATCCATTAAATGCATTATTTTGCCTTTAACTAAAATGTGCATCTGTTAATCTTATGCTGTGGAAGTCGTACAAAGGGATTAAAATGTGAATAATGTAGAAGCAGAGAAAAAAATAGTAGTACACTTTATCAGCTGGAGGTTTATTGGATGTTTCACAATGATTGTGAAAAGCATAGTCAGATCTACTAAAATATTACATCATTCACATATTTACATGCAAAATATCACATTTAGAGAAAGTCCACCAACTACCCCCGCTTGTCAAAGATGTATATGCACGTTAGGGTTAGATTGAAATTACTCGTAAACCTCATTCTGCAGGTAAGGGACAGTACTGAGATATACACTTTGAAATGAAACAAGTTTGTCCTTGTGTTTGAATCCTGCATTAAAAGCGTCAGCTATTAGAACACATAAGACTATCCTCCACACCAGGATGTGGTTTTCATACAGAGGTCTTATGCATTGATCAGTTTAAATGGAAGATTTTTTTGCTGATTTCTTGGTTCTTCACTGCAATTCCTAGTAAATCAAATGGTCAGAAGTACTAAACCTCATAGGCTGTTGAATAGAATATTTCAGCAGCACCATTTATCATTTAACTTTTTGCTTCACTAACTAATAGACGTTCTTTTTGCTCCAGCTCTCTCTCTCTCTGTCTCTCTATATCTCCGATGTCCAATTAAATCTCTTTCTTCTTCATTTCTCTGCTGCCCCCAGAGGGTTGTCTGGAGGACAATGCAACACAGTGTAAGCCTTCCATTCCTCCTCTTGCTTTCACCAAGTCATCTCTCTTGTGGTGTTTTAATCAACCTGCCCATTGCGCTTCACCTCTTTATATTCAACGTTGCTATTGATTACTTGTTTGAGACATGGCTGTTTATTGACTGTGCATGTAATATATTCATCTATTTTTAGAAGGTTCATACTTGATGTCTAGAAATGTTTTATATTGACATGTTTGGTGGGTAAAACTACAATTAGAAAGCTGTGTTTTCATTTAAAATTTTTATATTTTCTGCATAAAATGTTTATTTATTAGAATTTCCCGCCTTATTCTATCTTTCAGGAGTTTTGCACTATAGCACATGTAATAAGTATGAAATGTGGCAAAACCTTTGGACTTACTTCATTCATTCATTCATTCATTTATAAATACTTGTAAATTTGCAATGATTTGAGTGAAGAAAAGCACTGGTTAGACTACTCCCCTTCATGTCATGAAAACATGTGATAGAAACATGGGTTATGATTTATATAGATCCATCTATTGATAGGGGCCCTCAAGCTGGGGTCAATGGACCCCTAGGGTTCCATGAGCCATCAGTTGAAGGTACATGAAACACATTATTATTTATTTATTTATTTATTCCTTATTTAACCAGGAAGGTCCCATTGAGATTAAACACCTCATTTACAAGGTAGTCCCATGTAGTAGGACCTGAAGACATACTGTGTATGCATCTCCTGGAGGAAAGAGGTGGGCATGGGCGGGGCAAAAGAGTGCAGAGAAGTCTGTGGTGTCTCCATTATTAAACAAAAGCAAGCTGAGCACTCTTGCTTTTGGAGACTCTCTAACTCTTATTTTGCACGCTTCTTTGCTGTGTGTGTGTGTGTGTGTGTGTGTGTGTGTGTGTGTGTGTGTGTGTGTGTGTGTGTGTGTGTGTGTGTGTGTGTGTGTATGTGTGTGTGTGTGTGTGTGTGAAGATGCTCATTGTACCAGTTGGGGTTAAATAAACGTTTTGCCAACTGTAAGATGATCGCCCATGCAGTAATCGTCCGATAGGAGGCCCGTGCCTATTTGCTGATTTACGTCCAGGTGGCGACTTTTGTTTATTTGACTGGAAAGTGTCTAGAAGTCCAGCTTTGGAGCCTTGAGTTTTAATAGAGCTTCAAACCTAGCTCCTTCAAACCTACTTCACGGGTAATCTAACTATGTTAATAGTGTACCAAGCAGCTCTGGACTATAAATATAAGTCAACTGAACATAAACTTAAACTGCATCCTGCTTATTTAACCAACCTGAAGGTGGATCATTGGTTTGCCTAACTGTTTTATTTGGTATTGCATTGAATCCACCATGTGTCCAATGTTTGTGTGATTTGAGGAAACTTAGAAAAAGTTTTATTGAATCTAAAACAGCCAATTAAAGGGAGATGTGCGATGTAGCAATTTGAACAGAAATGAGACAGTCTTTTGCTGATGGGGCATTACTGTGTGTTTCTCAATTACACAAATGCCGCCCAACCCCCACCCAAATAAAAAAAAATTTGATGGATGTCCAGAGAGGATTCAGTCATTGATTAGTTTGACCATTTGCTATATATTTCAAGTCTCCTCAATAGGCCGTTTGTTGTTAAGCATGGCTGAAATGGGATGCTGTTGGGAAGAACGCTAATTAGTCATTAGCAGCGGCCAGGCCTTTCTCCACGCTTCATTTAACTTTGTTTTAGCAGAGGGCCAGGACCAGTAAACAATGAGGCAAAAAAATAAATAATTTATATTTATCATTTTCCACAAAGAGGGAAAACTGTTAAATAAATGATCAGTCTCTTCAATCACACAGTCATTCAGTGTTGATTCACACCACTAATCCACCAGGTAAGGATTTATTTTAACAACAATATATTAGAAAAACTACACAGATAAAAGAAAAACTGAGAATTAGAACACAAGATAAGAAATTAGTTTCTGATTTGCTGTTGACAACATTGTTACCATTTGTTGCTGACTTCAGACCACCAAAATCAGTCAACAAGAAATCATTCTACCCATTACAGTTGCAGACACAACTGCCAGTTCTGATCAGTGGTAACAGAGAACTGAGTCACGCCATAAAATGTTTCCAGTAACCACTCTAATGAAATTGTGGCACATAATGCACATTTTTCCGTCTATGTTGGATTTTTTTTCCTCTTTAATGGTTTGAGAAGATTAGCTGGGGGACAAAATGTTGGGACTAGTTAATCACGCTGGCATGCTAATTCGGTATACTTGGCATGCTGAGCAGTAACAACCATAGGGCGTGAGTGCTGAGAGGGTTTTAGAATGCTCTTCCTAAGTGTGCTGACAAAGGTTTTGCGAAAAGAATTTGAGCTTGGCTTAAAGAACTAAATGTGTGAATTTAAATCTTTGCTGACATACAGGATTTAAGGACTTTCCCAATATTTTGCAACAAAGCATCTTTCACTAAACCAGTTGATTACAAATGATTGAATACTTTCACCTTTTAAGCTTGTCTGCAGAGTCATTTTGATGACATACTTTAGAAATATTCTTTAGATTACTATCAGGATTTATTATAACTGTGAAAAACATGGCTGACAAGTGATGGTTTGAAAATAGACTCTAGTTTTCTTTTTTTGTATGAATTCTTGAGTATAAATAAATGTTATTTTATATTAAAAATGTGTTAATTAATAAACTTTCAAACACCTCACTGGGCCTCCTTTGGCTCCAGCGGATACCTCCTAGAACAAAGTGTATTGTGATAGGTTGTTTTAGTACTAATCTCAGTGGCTAAGTAGAGGGTAATAAAGGGGTCCATCTTGAGGTAATTCTGTCAGTCAAAAGAGATAAATGCATGACAATGACTGCTTGGTAATGAGCCATGATTGCTTAACAGAAACCTCTCTGAGTGAAAATAGATTAATAGATGTTCAGTGTGGACAAAGAGAATCTAGGTGGCTACTTTCCTCTTTAATGATTAAAGCTATTTTACTCTTATTTTAGGTCACCACCGGTGTATTTCTCTTCTCTTTTATATTATTAGTTCATTCACCACCTACCCATTTTGCTGCTCTAATTTCCATTTCAAGCCCTTTTACAACCATCCTGTGTACATCACATTAAATGGATGCTCAGGCTCTTGTGTTCTGTAGTGTTTTTACATAAGCACTAAAAATGTACACTCTTTTGCTTCAAGCCAGGTCTCCAAGGAAGCCTCCCAATTCAGTAGCTTGTTTGGGGGCTCAGCTAGGAGCAGTAGATTTCACGTTTGATAGGGTTAGGTTTGTGAGATGGTTTTTCAATGGTGTCCTCCTGCTGCTTGATAGCTTTGCTATCTGAGAGTGAAACAGTTGAATAAAAAGAAAAAATACCATCTGAGGTTCAGCAAGGACCGTGTTTGTGGGGGGTCACGCTTTTGTAACTATGAGAGTTGCTTAGCTATTTGAAACTAGATCCTAATTAGTTTCCTAGATTGTTTGTGCAGTTAGCAGCGGATTAGAACTTCTATTACGGCACTAACATGTATCTAAGGTCAACAAGATTTTCAAGACCAATCATCAGTGGTGTCCATTGGGTCAACAAGCATATTGGCCAGTTAATCACCAGAGGCCATCATCAGTGGGGCCCCCTGGGGTGATCAAATCCCAATGTTAGTCCTGTAGCCAATTAGGAGGTGACATTGGTGATATGGTTTGTTTCTAAGGTAAATGGGGTAGGTCTAACAATTTTGGTCACAAGAGTGCCTAAGGATATGCATCTCTTTTTACTTCTACTAAGTATAAGATAGAGGGTTAAAAAGGCTTGGAGGGTCCACAATAGACTATGGTCCATTCAGTTCAAGAACCAGGTAGGGTTAACACTAAAGTTCTGGTCCAAATGAGGGAATGGGTTATTGAAAGGGGTTAGGGATAGGGTTAGACCAAATTATGTCATTTATTTGCTCCCTGTTCTCTCATTGCCGTGCATGTCCTCAAACTCCACTCACACACACGCGCACACTCGCTGCTTTCATTGAGCAGCTGTGGCGAGAGCTCCGTATGCAGAGAAGTTTGCTGCTCAGAGGACACACACACAGCTTTCTTTTCCCTTCCCACTGAGAGGGAGCTCCGTGCTACAGACAGAGATGTTTACTCAACAGTAACCAGGATGAAAAGTAATCGCACTTGCCGGAACCCACCGTTGACTGATTCAACTCGCCAATCAGAAGTGGTAGGTGTGAATTTCAACCGGCCAATCAGTTTGTAGTATCACCTTGGTCCCGGTCGGACCTCCGAGGAAAACATCAGAAAAAAGACTCACCTCAGAACAGAAAACGCACGTGTGAACCTGGTGTAAAACCAAACTCTTGTCCGGTGCCCGACCGTACTAATCCTAATGTGTAAGCAGCATTATATACCTTTTCACATATTCACTGTTGCATTAAATGATTAACTATTAGGCTGCAAATATAAACATCTACCCAGCAGCTGATTGTAGCACTTTTCTTGCATTCAGGGATCAAATATGTCCAGGGGCAGACTGGCCATCTGTGGATTCTGGAGAATCACAGAACGGCCGGTACTCCGGGACGGCCAGTGGACCGGCCCACCACTCTCCACGCACCCTTTCAACACCTGATTTTCCCCCCTCAAAGCTCTTTCATGCTCCAGCACTCTAGCTTCCTCCCAGTTTCTCTTTAAGCTGAATTTAACATCAGTTTATCATCATGAAACAAAAGAATAAAGTGGAACAAGAACTTCTGTCTTCTATTTCTCTCTCCTTTTAACTTCTCCTTGTCCCTAAATAAAAGAGACAGACGATTATGTCGCAGCCGCAGTTTGGGTTCGGTCTCAGGTTATAACTCCAGTGCTCAGCCTTGCAGTACCACATAACAGCGGATCAAAGTTTCCTACTCTGTAAATGTGGAGAACATTCCTCTGACCGATTTGGATGCTGCGCTGGTGCCGCCGTTAAAATAACAAAACTAAATTCCACCGTAATTGATTATGGTACGCTTCTATGATGCAAAATCGTTTATGCCT